CAGTATACAAATGCAACCACCACCAAAATAATAAACTGTTTTAAGTGCTCTGTTGAAAACAGTGCGGAGGCATGTGACTGAGTGGATTCCTTCTAGATAAAGTGGCCAAAGAGGATCTCACTGAGATGACAATGAAACTGAGACCTGTTTGCTTTAGAGTCAGCTTTGTAAAAGGCAACAGCCTAGGCAAATAGGCTGGAAAGAGCTGAAGAGTCATGGAAACTGTTGGCCAGAGGATGAGTAAACCCATTGCTACAAGTGGATTCTGACTCATAGCGACCCTTAAAGGAGCAGAGAATCTCTTCTTTCTCCTTGGGAGCTGGTGGGCTTGAAAGGGCCACCCTTGCAGTTAGCAGTCTAACACTTGCCCCACAGCCCCACCAGGGCGTTATAGAGGTTGAGCAAATGGGGAGTAAGGTAGATAGAGTAATAGGTTGTTTTAAGCAGCAGTAATGTGATTAGATTTACATTTTAATAAGTGCAATCTGGCTGTCCCCGTCCTCCTCGGGTAAAATAAACTCATTGCGCCCACAAACAACAAATGTTTAGCAAATTCCAAATCCCACTCACGAAACCTCCTAGTCTTCGTCCCTTTGGCTGGTGGTTTGGCACCCGAGGCATAATAAAGCTCCTCCTCTTCTCACCAGCAACAGGAATGAATGTTTTCTATCAGTTAAATGGAGAGAGATGTATGCAAATGCCCCGAGCCCAGAAACAAGACTTTGCCTCCTTGGAAGGCTGTGAGAACGTGGTGGAGGCTACGTGAGCTCTCGGGAGGCTAGGTGTAGACTTGGAAAGGCTTGGTGGGAAGATAGGCTGAAGGAAAGCTTTCCATCAGAATTCAGAGAGCACTGAGAAACAGGGCTTTGAGCTGGGAATGGCCGCGGTTCCATTGCCGTTTCGAAAAACTCCCAGTTTGTCAAGAATGGATTGAAAAAGTCATTTCAATTGGGAGAGCGGTCACAGTAGCCTCGACTGGAGCGGTGGCACCGAGATGGAGAGAAGTGAGAGATTCTCGCCGCACTAAGGAGACACCATTACTAAACGACCGCTAATACTGAGTCCTCGGCCTCGCGTGATCGCAGCGGTTGAGCGTGAGTGGGGACACCGCGTCTGGGTCCCGGCGCCCGCCCGGGTCCCGCGCGTCAGGGTAGTGGGCGTGCCCCGCGCGAGTCGTCGCCACGGCGACCGGGCGGGGCGGGGCCGGGGGCGGGGCCGCCAGGGCACTGCGTCACCCGGTGGTGGCGAGGGTGCGTGTGTGTGGAGGGCGGGGGATACGCTGGGCGCGTCCCGGGGGTCACGTGGTGCGCACCACGCAGAGTCCTTCTGTCGGTTGGTCCTGGAGCGGCGCAGCCGGAGCGGGGCCGTGAGGTGAGCTCGCGGCGAGGCGCGGCGCGGCGAAGCGAGGCAGGCCAGTGGGGTCGGGCCGAGTCCGCGCCGTGCGCGCGCCGTGCGGGCGCCGTGCGGGCGGGGACGGTGACGGGCGCCACCGCTGACCCAGTCTCCTGCCCAGCCCCACTCCCCGCCTGGTCCCGCTCGCCCAGCCCGGAGGGAGGCCCGGGGACCGCTGCTGAGAGCGTGGCGGGCGTGCAAGCGGTGCCCAATCCTCGGGGCTGCCCGCTGGAGTGACGGCGGCTGTGGCCAATCAGCGTCGCCCGAAGGGGCTGGGCTGCGGGGTGCGGGCCCGAGGCGCGGAGCGGGCCGTGTTGGGGGTGGGGGTAAGAGCTAGGGGCTCTCTCTAGCCTGCGATGTGTGGCCCCAAGAGGCTCGCTACCAGCCCATGTTCTTGCCTCGTAACGCGTTTTCTTTTATTGGCTCATCCTTTTTCCGGGGAGCCCACCCCTGTCTCAGACCCCCGAAAATGGGAGTGCCCCCTTTCTCTATAGTTTCAAAAATGTGAGCAGCGTGGTCTCTTTATTTATCACCATCCCTGGGGTTTTATCTCCGTTTCCAACGCTTCCTCAAATTGAGGGTGTGTACCCCTTTTTCTTAGCCCCTCCAAGGTGGGAACACACTCCCATTTATGAACCTCACAATCTGGGTGTGCAGTGCACTGTCTTTGAAGTTTGGAAGTCTTCCCAGTTAACAAATCCCTCAAATCTGGGTCCACTATCCAAAGTTTTGGGGGTACTTATGTTTCCCTAGATCCATGGAAGACTTCCCTTCCACATGCTTTCCAGAGTTTAAAAATTTTGGAACCACTTTCTTTCTTCAGCCTTTCAAATCTGAGGCTGCACCAGATTTCCTTAGTCTCTCAAAAATGAAGCCCAAATCCTGACTTTTAGGAATACTTAGTACCATAAATCTGGCAACTCACTGCCGTTTCCAGCCACTCCATCCTTGGGGTCACGCCCTTCTCCAGAGTTCCTCAAATCAATTTATTTTATTTTCTCGGGAGGCTCCTTATTTTCCTGCCTGAGCACGTATTTGTTTTCTGTCCGGCCCCCACCCTCCACCCCCATGTGTATAAGTGCACCTTCCACCTGGGAGCACCCCATAGTCTTGAGTGTTGGGCTGTGATTCTTGAGCATATTTCCATTTCATAATTACCCTTTTTAGTTTTTCCTCCCATCCTGGAAAGTCATTTGGAACTACATTTCCCTGTCTGGCTTGAGTGCACCCCACTTCCCCTTCCTCCCGGTGGCGAGTACATCCCTTTCGGCACTTCCACGTTTGCTCTTGGAGCACGTTTTTAAAGCACACTTATAGTCACTGCTGAATTCTCCCCTTCCGGGAGGTCCACCTCCCAAAGAGATACCTGGAGGTTGCCTTTGGTGCCTTTGGGGCTTTTCCTGGTTTCTAACTGTTTGGGACACTGTTCTGTATACTGATTGGCTGTAGAAACTTTGTTTTCTCTACCCAGTTGACAGTGAAAGCCTCTAGTCCGGACTGCCTGACCCCCCAGGCTGAATTAAAAATGGAAAGACATTCTTTTGCATTTCTTTGGTTATCCACAAGACTCTTAAGCTGCCTGCTGGCTTGTTTCCTATAAGATTCAGTTCTCCTTTGCTTTATCTTTCTGCTGGGGGTAAAAAAACAAACCAACCCTCAAGAGATTTTTCTAGTTCTGCTTTCGGTCCATTAAGTTTTTTTCTTTTATCAGGAAAAGAGATAATTGGAGGAATTTCTTGGTCACTGTTTTTGGTGGTGGTTCTTGCGTTGGGGGTAGGAGTGGGAGGATGGAGGGATGGATGCTTTCTCATTCCCTGTTCATCCTCTCCGACAAACTACAAGGTTTCCCTGGCCCCCCTACTTGTCTCCTAAGAACCTCTTATTACGCTCTTTCTTTTGTATTTCTTTCTGCCTTTCCAGATCTTTCTGGAGTCTTCTCAGCCTGAATCCCCAGCCAGATGTATTTCTCCACAGCTGGAATCCCAAGTGCTTATGGGATAGTGACACCTTTGACCTTTCTCTCTCCTGGGAAGTACTTGAGTGTGCAGCTGTAGGAGGCCTCAGTGGGGGAAGAGAGTGGAACTGTGAGGTTGCACTGGCAGGATGAGGGAGGAAAATACTGCATTTTTAAGACCAAGTCTTTCTGAATCTCATTTGGAGATTGGATGTTTGCCAGGCACCTGCTTCTTAGCGATGCTGGGGGATTTAATGATGCTCCCAGGAACCTGTAGGAATTAATGGGGCTTGTGGAGAAGTGTTCTGAACTTGACTGTTAGAATTTAAATAAAATAGGGAGGAGGGGAAATGAGGAGCTGATAACCAAGGGCTCAAGTAGAAAGCAAATTAACCATTAATTGTATTTTTAGAACAACTAAGCTGTTTTATACT